TTAGATTCCTTAAATCTCTCTCCATTGTGCATGACCGACCTAAAGGCGATCTCTACGTCCCACCATCCAATCGCCCATTGCCATGTCACCTATCGACGTGGTATCATTGAACCAATAGTATATAATCCCTCTTCCTCATCCTGCATTTCTCATTCAACAAACAGTCACATGCGAAATTCTGTGTAAAGACAAATTTCCTTTGTCCAGAGAGAATGTGTATAACTATGGAAACTAGGGTTTGGAGTGGCGTTTTGATGATTTCTGTCTCTCTTTTGGCGTTGTTCAATGTATCAGCATTTGCAGCAGAGGAAGGGGAGAAGGTGTTGACTTTAGACCATTCCAACTTCTCGGATACTGTGTCCAAACACAATTTCATCGTCGTTGAATTCTATGCTCCTTGGTATGTATATAGATAGATGCGTGTGATTTTTTTTAATTGTGATTTTCATGTTTTCTTAATGGATTCTGTGCTACAGTGATTTTAATTTTTTCTTTATTTATTATTTATGTGGAAAATGGAAAGTTTAGATCGTTCTTTACCCTGTCTGAGCTAAAGATGGGATTCAGTGATTTCGATCCGTCTTAGTGTTGTATTTTCTGCACTAGGATTTGTACATTTTTCGTCACTAATTGTGTAGTGCTGATTTTTTAATTTTATTTTTTCCGTTTTGAGTCTGTTGACGGTAAGCTGATTATCTCAATCTGAGTTCGCTCAAATTTGCTAGATTTGCAAGCACATATGTTTTTGGGCGTCTGCTTTTGTGTAGATTGAATTTTTCCAAATATGCGATTGATGATTCTTTACCTTTCTTTTTTGGATAAAAAAGTGCTACATTCACGAGAATTTTTTTTTTTTTTTGGGTATGCAGTTACTGATTCATGAAACCCTTTCCATTCTCGACTCTTATCAGAATTTTTATGCAAGCCTTTCATTAGTTTCTCTTCTATGGGTTTGATATCCCCATAATATATCCTAATTTTTGGCCTAATTCTTCATCTGATGATCGATTCAGAGTTCAATGAAAGTTGAAATGTAGATTTATAAGTTTTCAATTAGATCTATAATTTGTTCCATTTCGTATAATGTTAATTGTTTTTTAATTAGTTTTTTACTGTGTGATACTTGTGATACTGAATTTACTTACTAGAACTGATTTTATTAAGTTCCTCTAATTAATTATCTTTTCCTCCCTCCCCAGGTGTGGGCACTGTAAGGCGCTTGCCCCAGAGGTAGAGTCTATTCTTTCTGCACTGTGATAAGGAGTTTTCACCATATTTTATTTGTTCCTTTTAACACTGTTGAGTACATTCGTGTTTCTATGTTATCTTTCTAATGACTTTTTATCCATCTCTTCTTGATTTATTATTAGTACGAAAAAGCTGCATCAATACTGAGCAGCCATGACCCTCCAATAGTTCTGGCAAAATTCGACGCAAATGATGATGCAAACAAGGAACTAGCTTCTCAATTTGAGATTCAAGGTTTCCCCACTATTAAGATCTTAAGAAATGGAGGAAAGAACATTCTGGAATACAAAGGTCCTCGTGAGGCAGATGGTATTGTTGATTACTTGAAGAAACAAGTTGGTCCTCCATCTACTGAAATCAAATCAGTGGAAGATGCTGCCAATCTTGGGGATGAGAAAAAGATTTATGTTGTAAGTAGATACCTTTCTTTTCCCAGTACTCTTATCTCTGTTTCTTTGTTAATTATATGTAGGACTAAACACATGGATCTATTCTTTTAGGTTGGGGTGTTTCAAAAATTCTCTGGGGAAGAATTTGAAAGTTTTATGACATTAGCAGAAAAGTTGCGGGCTGACTATGATTTTAGTCACACTCTTGATGCCAAGCTCCTCCCTCGGGGTGAATTGGTCAATAAGCCAACTCTTCGCTTGCTTAAGCCGTTCGACGAACTGTTTGTTGATTTCCATGTACTGCTTAAACTTCCCTTTATATTTCCAGTCAATTTTTTACTTTGGAAGCTATTCTACTTTTTGGTTTTTTGTCAGTAACATTGGCCTGCGATGATAATTTCAGGATTTTCAAGTTGATGCAATGGAGAAATTTATTGAAGAAGCCACCATTCCTCTTTTGACTATTTTTAACAGTGACCCGAGCAATCATCCATATGTGAACAAATTCTTTGAGTCCCCCAATGCTAAGGTACTTTAATTCTTTTTCTCCAAGCCTCGACCATGCATGATTATGATTATGGTTTACATTGGCACGTAGTTTTTTCCAATTTATGTACTTGAGCATGACTACTTCAAATGAACCATTAGATTTATCCTAGGCTAACCTCTGTATGAACTGCATTGAGGGAGTAATTTTACAAGCGGCCTTTTTTTACTGACTCCTATGCACTTCAAGCTTCTGATGTCATTTTTGAGATCAAATACTGAGTATCAAGTTTTGAACTCTTTTATTGGTCATAGGATTTAGTTTTAAAGACAAGCGGACTGGATTGTCAAGATAATGCTCGTGGAGAATGTGTAGCGCATTAATTTGTGAATATTGTGATATTATTGTATCATTTTAGAATTATTTTTTTTCTTTGAGAATATGCGCTAATTGAATAAGAACTCCTTCTTTGAACATATTTTTTTTTGTAGAGGTTTCCGCTATTTAATATGGTCACTGCTAGAGTACTTTTTTCTTTTATTGGAAAGATTCTTTCACTTATTCTGTTGAGATTGTGTTCCAACTCATCCCCTAATCTTTCTCAGCAGGGTTCAGAAAATTTTACATTTATAGTTGTAATTTTAGTTGTTATTGCTGCTTTGATTCACTTCTGTAACCTCCTACGATAATTGATTTATCATCAGGGAACAAACTTTGTACAGTTTTGTGATATTAGTAACAATGCGAACTTTTCGTCATAAGTTCCTATTTTGTTAACTTTGACTTTTGAGTGTTGGCTTAACAAGTAATTCAATTGTACAGGCCATGCTTTTTGTGAACTTCAGCAAAGAGCTTGGCGCTTTCCAGTCAAATTATAAGGATATTGCTGTGCTATACAAAGGGAAGGGCATAAGCTTTCTGTTAGGGGATCTTGAAGCCAGTCAAGGTGCCTTCCAGGTAGTCACTTTTCCATATATCTTTATTCATTTATTTTCTATTTTTGAAGATAACAGTAATATTTGACGAATAAATGTTTCTGAATCTCGGTGGCAGTACTTTGGGCTTACAGAGGATCAGGCACCTCTTCTTATTATACAGACAACTGCCGGTCAGAAATATCTCAAAGCTAACATAGAACCTGATCAGATTGCACCATGGCTAAAAGATTTCACGGTAATACTTCTTCTATTTCTAGTTATAAAAGGCGATTTCCTGTCAAGTTCTTGCATATATTGGAAGGACCTGTGTGTATTTTTCTCTTCTCAGCGAAAATTTGTGCAAGTAATTTTGTGCTTGTCTTGGCATAATTTGAAGTTTTGTGTTTCTTGGTTACAGGATGGCCAAGTCAAGCCATTCATAAGATCAGAGCCTATTCCTGAAGTTAACAATGAACCTGTCAAGGTGGTAGTTACGGACAGCCTTCAGGACATGGTTTTTAACTCTGGAAAGAATGGTTTGTACTAGAAGTTTAAAATATTTCTTAAGTATCTAGATTTAGTTATGTTTTCCTTAGTTTATAAATTCTCTGAACTCCTGATTGCATCTACACAAAACCAACTATTAATATTTATCTACTCTTGTTTATGATACAACCCAAATCTTAATGTTTGCCAAAGACTTTACGTATGATTTCCATCCTTTTTCTTTTCTCACTATCTTTTTGGTGTATGTTCACATTATCCTATTCTCTCTTGCCAATATGAAGAATACTGCAGCTAAAATTTGAATCCACTTCTCTGCTAATGCCTGTTATTTTAGGTCTGAAAGGTTTCTAAGTTCTAATATCTATCCATAGACTAAATTCTAAATTTAAGTTAATTCCAGCCTTATCGTGTTGCAGTTCTGCTAGAGTTCTATGCACCTTGGTGTGGACATTGCAAGCAGTTGGCTCCGATTTTGGACGAAGTTGCCGTCTCATTTGAAAATGATGCCGATGTCATGATTGCAAAACTGGTAAAGTTCTAGCTGGTTTATTGATATAGGGACTCTATAGTGATACCTTGTGATTTTGCACTAGTCCAATGCATGATCTCTAATTCATGGACGATAATGTACAACTTTTCAACGATATCTTGAGAAAAACTGGTTTTGCTGATCATTTACTGTTTTACTGAGATCATGTAAGATTAATTGTGATCCTGTTATCTTTTCCGATCTCATCTAAACTCCACTTGGAGGAATGATACACTTTTTAAAACTTTTTTTTTCCCTCGTGTTCATTCTTAACCAGTGTCTTTTTAAGAAAATATGTCATAAACTAAATTTCTGGTACTACGTTTCAGGATGCAACAGCAAACGATGTCCCAGTTGACACCTTTGATGTTCAGGGGTACCCTACTTTGTACTTCAGATCTGCAAGTGGTAAGTTGTTGTCTTATGATGGGGATAGAACAAAGGAGGACATAATCGATTTCATTCAAAAGAATCGAGATAAGTCTGCCGAAGCTGACTCAGCCGAACCAGAATCTACAAAATCTGAAGCAGTAAAAGAAGATCCCGCTAAGGATGAGCTATGATAAGGTAAACTTGCCTTCTATTTTGAGACGATACGCTTTTATATTCTTTCGGTTCCTTATTGTTCACATTATTCTGTTTATTTCTTTTCTTCTTTGCATGTAGGCTTTGCTTGAATGCTTACCATGGGAACCCCGACAAGCTTTCTACATGACGTAGCAAATTTTAGTGTTTTTGCCTGTATGTTGGTGTACGTTGCATTTTGTTTTCGAAATAAAAGGGGTCAATTTTCAGGTGCTTGTAGTCGCATTAGGTTTCTGGTCTTTTCTAGGTATCACAATAGAACAGAACAAGTTACAATCAATTTTCAGACCTCTCTTTCGCAACCAATAATCGAAGCATGTATATTGTTCTGCCTCTCGAGTGTCTGGTTTGTAGTACGAATGGGACATCAAACATATTAAGTGGGTTCGACATAATTCACTGGGTAATCCTTAGCAGTAAAAAGAGAACCAAAATGTCCAATTGGTGACCCATTTCACGATTTCTAGTGAAAACAAAATCTAAAATGGTTTAAAGTATTATAGCTACTGACAAGAGATAGGAACCTGATAAGAAGTCAAAAGTACACATCTAAGAAGGCTAACACCCCAGACGAGATCTTGAACATATAATGGAAGAACAGATATCTAAAGCATCGTTAAAACACGTTCTAAGTCGGTATTTAAAGGTTACTATGTCTACTTGGGAAGAACTAACCGACAAGGCATGTTTGGTACATAGTATTGGGTTTATTTCTTTTTCTTTCTTATAGAATCTGGTACTATTTAGGTTAACTTACCAAACATGCTTTACTCTTATTGCTCGTGCCCATCTCGACCAGCTTGATGGTGCCTAGCATCCCTCTTCTTACCCCATTCATGAACCCTCAAGTGTAATTCAGCGGCAGCAATCAAGAAATGGACACCCTGTAGTGGAGTCAAAATGTTGAGTGTTTCTCTGAGAGTTTTCATCCTTTGTTCATCTGCTCTTTCCAAGACTTCCACCAAGCCTTCCTCCTTGGGTGCCAGGGTTGCCTCAACTCGTCCGTCGTCTATCTCACCCCTTTCTAGACTGGCTTCTCCTCTCGTTAGCTCGGATGCAACAGTGGACAGCTCGACCATGGACGAGTCTGCAATCGTCTCCTGAAGCTTTGCCTGCTTCTCACTAATCTCCTTCTCTTCCCTTATGGTTTTCCTCTGTAATTCATCAACCTGTCTAAGTTGACTTGGTGAAAGATCTCCCAAGTCACTGGTACTGAGTCCTCGTATCAACTCAGAAATTTGAGCCTCAAACTGTTGGCCTGACTTCGAGTACAACAAATGAAACGCCATACTGGGCCTCCAACCGCCAATCCACAAGAAAGCATCCTCGAGAGTGCTCGTCCATGAAGGATTGAACATGGTTAGCACATCATGTTTAGCCCACCTCGCTTTCGCCTCGTAATAATGCTCGTAATGCTGCACAACACGGTGGAATATAGGACGCAAAACTCTCCCATCAAATTCTTCTTTGGTTCGATCATTCTCTAACTGGTCCCGTTCTTTAGAGGCAGAAACAAGTTGTTCGAGATGCTGGCTTTGCTCAGCAAGCCAGCACTCGAAGAACTTGTGGAAAGTCTCGCGCTCCTCCGCCTCATGCCTGAGGACTTGTGCCATATATGCAACACTGTTAGGCAACAAAGACATGGAGGGGATTCACTATTATAGACACCCTGCAAAACCCCTAGTATTATCATCCGTGGAACCCGGTTTCAAGATTTTAATATATTTACACCCCGTTTGATCACTTTTTTTAAAAAATGCATTATTTCAATACTTATTTTTAACCATACAATATTCAATAAAATATTATTAAACGCAAATTCAAAATTTTTTTCTTTTTTAATCACATATTTTCTATCACATCGCTATTTAAAATGCATTAGTTCCTTAAGAATGTACATCAAACAGGGACTCAGTCTTGTATTCAATTGGTGGGTTCTTATTACATAGTATTTACTAAAGAGCTGTTTTGACAGTTTTGTCATTAATTTTTCGTCTGTCGGTTTATTCAAGTGTTTCAGCTTGATAATGTATAATATTACAGAACATGGCAATTTGCACTCACTGGGTGGGTGTGCAAGTCAAGAACGAACTCAACTTGGCCGCCCGCTAAACCACGATGTGTAATAATCTATAAAACTATTATTTCACATATTTCAATGCCTAAAAATGTTATGTTGCTGAAAAACGCACAAGTTGCATTCATAAGGATTGTTGTGGCTCACAATATAACAAATTCAACTTACCAAGCTAGAAGGGGCCAGACATTCTTTGTTTTCTTGTGACAAGGAGACGAGACTGTGCTGTCCAAGACATACATTTGTGGCATACTTACGCAGCTTTTGTGGTTGCCTATCTACGTCTCCCTTTGGCTTAGATGCATGTACTCACGCATGATTCAATCCGTGCTATTTACACTCGCTCATTAACTCGTCATATGTGACATATGTAACAGTTTGTGATTAAATGCATTAATACGATAGTTTTTTTATATCTCGTATATTAAATCATTAATCGCTATGTGTGTGTCACGTAGAGAATTGCGGTAGTGAGTAATTACAAATAGTATTATTCATGAAAATTCTGATGCTCAGACTCTTCGAAATAATTAGAGTACTGTGTCGAACGCGACACGACATGGATATTGGTATGTGATGTGTCGGATCTCCAAGTTTCAACCGGACATTTTGTCGTTTTTGTTTCTTCTTCCTTCTTTTTCTATATTTCTTTCTTTCTTTCCTTTTTTAAAATTTTTTTTTTTCATTTTCTTTCCATTTTCGTCTTTCCCACTTTACTCTTTATAAATCTAGCGTCGTCGCCGAGAGGGTGGAGAAAGGCGGCGGCGGCGTTAGGTTTTCCCTTCTTTTTTCTTTCCCTTTTCTTCTTTTTTCCTTATTTATCTCTCTATATTGGTGGCTTAGAGATTTATTTATATAAAATGAAAATGAGTTCCATATAATGCTGCTTAGAGCATGTTTGGACAAGTTTAAAATTCAATTAAAATTGAAAATATATCCGTTATTGGGTCTCGCTCGTCTAATAAAAGTCAATAATAATAGATAATTTTTCAATTTTAATCCAATTTTAATCTCTACCGAACATGCCATTAATGCTTCACTAAATCCAAATTAAAATCGAGTTCATCATTTTCTATTTTATATAATATTTAGTAATTCTCATAATTGAAAAATAAACTCCAAAATTCTATTTTGTTTGTCTCAATCCCTTATTAAATACTAATTTCCTTCATTGTGAATAATTAATTTTGGTCTATTCAAAATGACATCCTAAATTAGTAAAAAAAATTGTAATTTGAAGGACGTACATACGTACTTGCATCTGAAATTTGAATTCTTTTTAGTCATGTCCTCGTATCCTACATTTTATAAAATAAAATATCCAATACGTACCCGAATTCGAGCATCATAGTATGAAATTTAATAACAACAAGAGTCGGATATTTGAGACTTCCAATTAGTTACGTAAATTATGTTAGATTTAACACTATTGCATGTGATGAGTAGCTGGTGCATGATGATAAATTGAGATAGAACTTTGACCATCAAATTGAATAGGGAAATTGTCTTATTTCGTGGGAAATAATCGAAAATACCCAAAATTCAAGGATAGGCTTTGACTATTCTAAACTTTGAAACTACCTAAAATACCCTCGAAAATAATAATTACATCTAAATCACTATCATATAAAAAGAATACAATCAAGTCCTATAAAAAATTATTATCATAAAGATGACTGATAAAACTTATAAAAGACACAAATTTAAAAGATGACCATATAAGATTAAGAAAATTATGAAAAA